AAAAAAAAAAAGAAAATGTATTTTTATACTTATTTGATATTCAACGAATTGGAATCCGTAAATTTATCGAGCGTCGAGTTTAGAGACGACAAACGATTTTAATAGAAAATCGAAGATCGAATCCACGTTTCTTTTCACAAATACAATATTATGTTTGCATCATAATGCGTTGTTCAATTTTATCATTTCGAACGTTCCCCCGCAATTTCGTTGCACGATCTCCCTCTCTTCCCTTACCCTCCCTTCCGCCCTCCCTGCGCTAATATTATTTGATGTTTACGTAAGAATGTTCGAACAGCGACGCCGAAGCGTCTGTCTCTTGTAACGTTCGCGAATCGATCGTTAAAACTGATTCTATTCATACGAAACCTATTTTTATCGACATAGGCGAAATACCTAGATTGTTCGAGCGAGATTTCCAGCGATATTAGATCGCAACGAATCGATACGAGTCGAAGAAAGGTACAACGAATATGATACGACGTATGTACGTAAAAATAAAAATTTAAAAAAATAAAAAAAAAAAAAAAATACAAGCGTAAACGTAAAAGAAGAAGAAGAAGAAGAAAAAATCTTCCGACGAAACGAAAATCGCGTGTCCATATCGACGAGAAATTCCTATCGCATGCAGATTTCGTGGTCGTAAGCGGAATTAATCCACGAGGAAGTCGCATATTTTCATACACGGCCATAACTGAACGATTGCGCAATGCGATTTCTCATTTTACGACACACACACACACACACACGCGCGCGATGTGGGGTCGTAAGATAGAAAATCGTAGCCACGATCGGTAGATTCTTCGTTGATAATCTCTTCATCTCTTCGTCCTTTGAAAGCCGCGTTAAATGCACACGCAAATGACTTGAAATTAACCGGGCGTAAACAACGTCTCTCATTATTAATAAATTGGTGAATGGGAGGATGTGACGCGAGACGCATGGTTCACCGGGAGGGAATATACACAATTACGTCGAATCGAAGCGAATATGTATAATCGCCTTCTGTTTATCTTCATTGTAACGTTTAACGGAGAAAAGGAGAAGAAATTGGTTCGAAAGGTACGTTAAACGAGGATCACGTTTTAGACATTCGTCTGTGCTCGCTTCGTCGGGTTTCTCGGTTCACTATAAATAGATGACAAGAAAAGGGGGGAATTAATCAGGCTTACCGAATGGTAATTCGTGTCACAATTGCGTACGATCGCGCAAAATCAGTCGTATCGCCGTTCACGGGAGAGATATTTATTAAACAAATTGATTTCTTCGCCGCGGTTCGACACGATCTACCCTTGACACGGTTATTGAGTCGATGATAGTTCTCATAAACGGGGTACCCTAGTTGTCTTTTACACGAGTATCTGGTGCTGGCTTATGAAAATTTTCAATCCCCGCCACGCGCGATATTCCACGCGTGTACAATTTCTCATTTGTCATTTGCGTTCAATTCGATTTATACCGCACGATTGTGCAGTTTCTAAGTAGAGTCGTCCGATACGAATCGGACGATATCGCGAACCAGTTTCTCGAAAATGGATCAATGGCGGGAATGGATTCGTAAAATTGATGGAAACTGTGCCAAAGAGAAAAGAAGGGGTCAAAGCGACGATAAAATTGCGATACGATACGTTTCGCGAGGACGAGATACGTAACGCGTCCCATTCTCGGTTTCCATTCATCTTGGACGACGATTTAACCTGTCGTTAACGACCACCTGACCTTAGCTAACGATCGGAGAAGAGACGAGTTGTCAGAGGGAGGTGGATAGATAGGTTCGAAGGTCAGTAAAAGCGCAAATACGCCAGTCCGGTAGAGACTGGTCGATCAGAGTTGGCAACACCAGAGTTCGTTGAGGGAAAGTAGGGAAAGATGTAAGGCGAATTCTATTTGTACGAGGAGGCGAGGAAAGTGGAGATCATTGGCCAATCGAGGGAAACGAAAATGGCGGGGGATTGGCTGCGACGAAGATCGATGCGCAACGAGGCACGCGCGCGCCTGCTCCTTCGCTCCACATTTCTCCGCTCTTCCCTTCCGCACGACACGTTACCGCACGTTACACGTTAAACCATTATACGCGTCGACCACGAAAAACAACGAAGGGCAAGGAAAAGGAAGAGAAGAGGGGCTTTGGTCGAGGAGTTTCGACTCGGGAGGATACGTTATCCCTGCGTAATAATAATACGAGAGAAGGAGGGGGATAGATCGCGTCTCTTCCCTCCCTCTCCCCCTTCTACATGTCCTCTCCCGATTTTCCTCCCCGAGGAAGTCGGCCAGTAGAATCTCGGCCGATACAAACGCATGGAACGGCATCTAGTTGGCAGGGAAGCGCGTCGAGTGGACAGTTGGGAGTCGGAAGAGAGCGTATGCGCCATATGTACATAATTACCACGGGCCAATCGGGGATTGAAAGCGGTGCACAAGTTTGTCGTAGCGTCGAAGCTCCAGGGTCTGGCTCGTCCCGTTGGTTCCCTCGCGTGCGTGCATAAGCGCGCGCGCACACACAGCCGCGCAACGGTGGTTCAGTTGGTTATTGACGTTCGTGTGCACGGGGCGCGTTGCTAGACTCTGTTCAACCACACTCTGTTCGAAAGTCGGGAACAGTAGCGAAAGGGAAAGAGGGAATTGGCGCGTGGGTATCTTTCGATCGCTTTCCAAGATCCCAAGAGAGGAAACCGGATACCGAAGTGAAGAGAAAAGAAGGAGACGAAGGAGAAAATAACCACTTCGGGGCCGGGAGAAAAAAGGAAAGACGAGTGACTGTGATCGCCGCCCGGAAAAAAATATCCGAGCGAGGAGAGAGAGGCTGTTGCGAAACCGAGCTACATGGCTCCGAAAATTATTCCTTCTTTCCACCGTCCACGCGTTCTTTGCTATCCACGTTCGAGCGAGCACCACCGGTTCGATCAACCGAAGGGGACCTCCAAATAATTCTTGAATTGATTTTCGATTCGTTCGAGGCGAAGAAGAGCGAAGTCCATCCAGATTTCGATTTCCGACCTCCGCGTTGTGTTAAATCGCATCTTGAACACGATATAACACGAGAGTGGACACGAGTAGGGACGACCGTGCGGCAAGGGAAAGCGTAAAGGGAGAGCATAAAGAAGGAAGAGAGTGCAAAGGCATGACGAGTATGACGAGCATGCGAACGATGCCGCCCGTTTAACGAATCGCTGTTTATAATATTTTATTACACGGTTGGAAAACTGCTCTCTCTATACCGATCCAAGCTTATGTCACACGGAAGACGAAAGAGGAGAAAAGCGACGAGAGAGGAAGAACGTGACGCAGTGAAAAAAGAGAGGACGGAAGATCGGGAATGCATGTTCCAGGACAATAATCGTGACAACAGCGATAATCGTGAAACGTGAGCTTCCTTCGATTCCTTCGAGTTGTTAAAGTGATTAATCTCTCTTTTCGCGTGGCTGGACCGCGAGTCAACGCATCGTCCCTCTCTCCAACGACTTCGATGCTTTGTTTTCGCAAACTAATGTTCACGCTTGTACGAACAGAAACCTTTTTAACGTGCGATCGACGTGCACGCATCACGCTTCTTCGATCACCCCCTTCTCGCCTCCTTTCTTTCGTCTGATTTCGTACATTTCGAAATTCGCGTTCGTCCTTTTTCCATCTCTTTCCGTTCCGTATTATAATATTCGCTCGCGTCGAAAACAAATCGAAAACAAAAACAAATCGCGCTCTACGTACGACGATTTTATAACAATAATAATAACAACAACAATAATACCATCTATGTATCGATTAAATTAGTCTTCTCTCAGAGACGGATATATATATACATATATATATATATATATTCGAATCGTCGAGTTGCAATTCCCGCTCGAATTATCCTTCTGCCTCGTAAAAACATCGCACGACGTTTTTTGCGACGAGCCACGAGGTTTTTCAACCGTTTTTTCAAACGAGACGTCGCGATACCGCGTCGATCGATGCTGAGAAAAAACACAATTTTTCACGACGTAAGGCGTAAGGATAAGAAGGCGAATAGGGAGAAAAAGAATAACAATACCTCTCTACACGTGTATTCTCTCCTTCCCTTTGTTCGCGGAAAGGTGTCTGCGTCCGCGTGGGAGCCGTTTCGACGAGGTGGCGCGTTCTTCGTACCAGGCATGCTTTCCGCGTTATCCTGAGCGATTTTTTCCTACTCGGTGAACGTAATTATACTTCTGAGAGATAATTATTTAAAGAAGAAGAAGAAAAAGAAAAAGAGATATATGATTAAAAGAAATATTCTTGTAATATAGAGAGAAAAAGAGAAAAAGATCCTCTTATTGGGATTCTTTATTTGTTGAACTGCCGTCACCGTTCTTCGTAGTCGTTGACGCGTCGTCGTCCTTGTTGTTATTGTTACACAACCGTTGTTGCACCGTCTCGTGTAATAGTTTCTCGTCGCTGCCATTCTATTACGCCTTTCTCCTCTCGTCTCCCTCGCCGCCGGTGATTGTGTCGTTGCGGTGGTTTTCTCCACCACCCTCCCTTCCCTCTCCCCTCTCTCCAACCCCCCTTCGCTCAAAAAAATATCATACATCTCCACATACTTTTCTAAATATCAACAAACTCGATCCGATCTGCGAGTCCATTTCCCCTCCCGAAAACAAAATAAAGAAGGAGAGAGAGAGAGAGAGAAAGAGAAAGAAAAAGGGAAGAAACGTTCGAACTCGTCCTTTTCGTCTTTGGAAACAAAGGACTCCGAAGTGAAGCATGGTAGTCAAGAACGAGAATACGAGAAATGGGCATGAGCTGGCTCCGTTGAACGAGGAACGTCAGGCAGGGCAGAACGTGACAATCGTGGTAACCGGGAATCAAAATGCTGCTGGCAGTCAAGAAACCAAGGAGGAGAATAGGGCGGAATGGAGCGGGAAGATGCAATTTTTCCTCAGTATTATCGGTTACAGCGTGGGACTTGGGAATATATGGAGATTCCCTTACCTGTGCCAACAGAACGGAGGAGGTAAGTAACGTACATATATGTGTATATATATATATATATTCTTATCTCTCTATTAATTTGAACCTCGTCTCTCAGTCACCTCTCTCATATAAAAAAATAAATAAACAAATAGATAAAGATAGAGCGAAGGCGAAAAACCGAATCTTAACGAATCTTAAATTTTGAATTCAAACAAACTCGATTACTCGTGCGAAAACGTTTTCCTACGACGAAGAGATGGATCCTAAAGCTGGTCGAGTCGAATGGCCACGTATACGCTATTTTCGGTCACACTGTTCGACCAACCTTCTCCCTCCCTCCCT